CAAGAAAAGGAACTGAACCCTTTTAAAAATGGTGTGTTATTAAAATACTAATGATTTTGCTGTTAAAAAAGTGAGCTTTAATGATTATAACACTCCTCTTTGATCACCAGAGAATGGTAATTAATCTGAGGGGGGGGGAAAATTTAAGACAGATCTCTCTCAAGCCTTGAAAGTACTATAAGAGCTCAGGGACAGCAGAGTGTAAAAGAGAATTAGACAATAGGTGTAGATGTTTTATTTTTATCCCAGAAGACTCCCCTGTCTAAATAACATTGAGGCAAATAAAGAAAAATATAAAATATATATACTGTCTTGACCTCCTCTGCTTTTTTAATTTCTGCTCTCTGCCTTCCCTGCAAGAAACTTCATCTCCTCACTGAAAACAAATCCCTGACATTCCTTGCCTGTGAAATCACTGCAGTCTAGTCACCATGTATCTCACTGCAAGCCAGACCTAAGGCATTTTTCTTCCTATCTGAGCAAACTTAGGATTGACATCAGACCTGAGATTTCTCAAACCAGGCTATCCACACAAACAGCCACAAAGATCCCTGTTCACAAGCGATACTAAAAGCAAGAAATGACTCAAATCAGATCTGACCCCTTGCTTCTACTCCAGACTAAGATCCCATTTTAACTTGAAATTGTCTTTTACTGCCCATCCATTTGCCTATATATTATGTTTAATTCAAGGCAAATAAAATGTAAACGCAAACACTATTCATTGGCTCTAGAAGATGGTACTCTCCTGATTTTTTTTTTTGAAAGACACAGGTACAGAAACAAAAGCCATTTGACTTAGAAGGTCTCCTGCCTCCTCATCATCCAATTTGCTTTTCTTGGCTACTGTGCAACTCATAGTGCAGATTTTCAAGGCTCTGCCTATTCAGATACTCCGTCAAAGACTAACCACGCAGAAGTTTGTTCCTGTTAGGCTTTTCTTACCCTGACTTTGTTACTGTGAACTGGCCAATCCGGCTGGTAGCAGGGCTCACATGGCCAATATCCAACTTCTCCTACTACACAAACCAGAAAGATTTCAGACATTCAATACACTTACAAGTAAAAATGAACACCTGAAAAGACAGAAGCAACCTCCCTTGCTTCCCTTATTCACCTTTATGAATAGGAAGCATTAGCAAATCTCTGCTATTGTAGCTCTTAAATGTATCTGAATATATATTTTTTTGCTATTGCACCTGTACAATTATAGAATTAATAGTTGTACAATCAATAGGTAGGCAGATGCTAGGCTTAGTAAGATTATCACAGCAGAAAAAATTCAAAATAAATGCAAATGCTCACCAATGTTGTAGGCTTGCAGTAAAACTCCACAAAGAGTGGAGATCCAGGAAGAGATCCTTCCTCAGTGGCAGTCAGCACTTAAATGGGATCTAGGAGAGGTGGAGTCAGACTCCACCCCTTTCAGTAACACAGGTGAATTGCCTTCACCTGTGCTCCTGGGCTGACTCATTGCTTGCCTCAGGTGATGAATCAAAGGTTCAGGCCATGATCAACTGTTCCCATACACTCCCACTGTTTTTCTCTGGAATTATTAGCATTGCCTGGAAGTATTGCACAGCACTGTAACACATTAAGAGATGCTGTTACAGCCATTGTATCACAGTCCCTTGCTGGATGCGTTCACAATTGTTGCATGAAAGAACTGAGCACCATTTTTTATTTTTATTTTTTTATTACTTTCATTATTTCTACAACGTAGCAGAAGGAAAAGCCGATTAAAAGATTTATTCAAATATTTACATGACACACAATGTTGCAGTATTAAAGTGTGAGCTCACTCTCCTTACAAATCTCTTTAGCAGTTAAATCTTTTCTCCCCATTGTTATTAACACGACTTTTAAATGGCAGCTACAAGATCTCATTACTGTGCCTTCAGCCTCTAATTGGGCATCCTCTGCCATTCTTCTCTCCCTCCTCCTATTCTCTCCCTCCATATGCCTTTCCTTTCTAGTGATTCATGTCTAATGCATGCACACAATGTCTAATCCATTTCCTCACTCCCAGTACTTGTCTACATTCTACTCCGTGCATCCTCCCACTCGCCAGCTTTGCACCACACATCCTTTTTGTAATCTCACCTTGTGTGCCCTTTTTCTACACATACTCATATGTTTGGATCAGTTTTATTACTGTGCTCCTTAAAATTCATGTTTTTCCATAAGCCTGTGAAATATAATAGAACATTATGACCAGCATCCCAAGCAGCATCAGAGTCAATATTACAGGTCACATGTAACCAGGCCCAGATAGGAGAGCCTTTCTTCTCTCAACTTAAAGTTCAGTCTTAGGAAAATAAGACAAGTTCTCATTCAGTCACTGTATAATATACAATAAGCTTAGTAGTTCAATTGTATGCACGCAAAACAATATATAAAAAACATCATCACTAAATATCTAACAAAATGCAGAGGCACAGAGATTGAGAATTCATCATGTTCACCAAAAGTATTAGATTAAGTAATCTTCAATCTATTTTTCTACTTATTGATAAACGGAGAGTTTTTGGTTCACAAAGCAACTGCAGCTAAAACTGGTCAGATGTGATCACGTAAAAATAAAAGGCTTGACCTTGTGGTACTAGGAAGAAGTTCATCATAGACTTAGTATTGAGGAATTCCTTAACACAGAATATGGCCTTCCCTGTGTAGGCATACTTTCAGCTTTTTGAAAAATGAACATACTATGACAGCAACGTACATTAGAAAAGGCAATATCTTAAAATGTGCTTATATCTTAAAATATATTATTTTTGAGGTGCTATAAAAAAAGCCCAGAAAAACTTAGGCTTCATATTCAAACAAATAAAGAAATAAATAAATAGCAAAATCAGCAAGTTGTCCATAACAAGGAGATAACACCATGCTAATACTTTGACCTAGTATAGCAACTGGACAGATCAATACAGTGGGAAAGGCATTACAACAAAGTTGTAATGATGGAAGGACCAGCACAACAAAAAGGTTCTATAAGGAAAGGGAAAAAGGCTGTTCACCTGCATCAGAAGATTCCAGGTTCACTGGGAAAGCTTCACCAAGAAAGGATCTCCAGAAAGAGAGCCTTTCCCAGTGACAGTCAGCCCTTAAATGAGGTCTAAAAAAGGTGGAGCCAGGCTCCACTCCTCTCAGTCACACACATGAATTGCCTTCACCTGTGCTCCCAGGGCTGACTGGGTCTTTTCCCCAGGTGCTCAATCAGTGGTTCAGGTCATGACTCAACAGTTCCCATATACCAAGAAATAGGTCTCAACAAGAATCAGCATGAAAGAGTGAAAAGAAAGATTTAAAAAAAAAAAGAGAGAGAGAGAGAGAGAGAAGGAGAGAGAAAACAAAAATGGAAGAAAACATTTTTATACAGCCAGAATGTGTTTGATTATCTCTTTGCATTCTGTACCAAAACCCAGTTGCTAACAAGCACAACAAATGCATAAACTGGAGATGATCAATTAAGAAGTATGTTAGATATCTCATTAACCTAACAACATATGTCAGATAATTAACAAAATTGCCAACAAAATCTGTAAAGAAATAACTCTCATTAAGTGCAAAATATGAATTCTGGAAAAAAAAAAGAAAAAAAGAAAAAATCCAGCCAGTTTTTCCACCATGAATAGATCAGTACTGCTATGTAATGTTACACTGTTATGTCTCCTCTGGACTCCCTCCAGTCCAGCACTTCTATCTACACTAAAATAGAGAAGATGATACAGCACTGGAAAAGGGAACTATCTGAATAAGAATGGTTTGCAGCAAGCAAATAGATGGAAAATTAGTCTTTCTTTTTCTGTTCCATCCCTCCTTGCAGAATCAAAGTTCAGGATAAAATTCTTACATCCCTGACAGATAAGATTATCTAATGACAAGCTGTGGATATGTCTAGTAAATCCTGCAAAGAATATACAAGTGAATGTATAGAAAAAAAGTCTGCTGCTGGCAAATTTGAAAGCTTCAACTTCTTTCAGATCAGAACATGCAGAAAAATCAATTTATATGTGAATTTTGATCTTTCTTTTAAAACAACACTGCAGTCAGATCAAGTCAAGCTTACCATCTGCTGCGGGTAGACATACAGCTATATTCAAGAATTACATTATAAAACTTCTTTGTAAACTTTACATGCAAGCTGTTCTTGTCAGAATTAAAGTCATGGTGATCATGCATCTTAATATTCAATCAGGCTTTAAACAAAGAGTGACAAAAGTCCACATATGGATGACAAGCTGTTCTACAGTAAATATTTTTGTATTTATTGAGAAGGGGCTTATGGCAGTTTAGGATGTGTTCCACCAGGCTTTTCAGCTTTAACTGCTTACAGACTAATAAAAGCAAAATAAAATCCCTTCTCCAAAATCTTTACTGAAATTTACAGTTTTTAAATTAACTTGATCATCCCTATTTAGCTGCGCTTTTACTTCATCATTTGCTTAAAGTTTTTTCCCAGCTGGTGGCTGTTAGAAACAGAAGATTTTTAGTACTCTGCATTTTAAGCAAGGTTTTATTCCCAAGTGGTACTGAACATAACTATGGAAGAGAAAAAGCAAATACCATGTGCTTTTATCATTATAGTAGATCCTCTAAAGCAGATTAAAAAAATCTCCTACTTCTTTTTTAATGTAATTAAACTTGCTAGAGCCAGTCCTCATATTCCTGCAGCTTAGGGAACACAGTATAAAACATTGCTTTTCCATGTACCCCAGTTACAAAAACATATGTCAGAAACAAAATAATCTCATGATTAGTAGGGGTAAAACTGGTTTTCCATTTCCAATTCCATTTTGAAAAGTTACAAGGTACACGTTGCTATTAATATTGTTAACTAGCTACAGGTGTGTTACATGTTTTATTACAGCAACTATGGAAGTAACTCAGGAATGCAGTTTAAAAAAAAAAAAAAAGAGAGAGAGATACATTGTGTGCAGTCACAGACAAGCATACTTCATATAAAATCAACATTTCCCAATGCAAATAAATAATCTTACCCTGAGGTTGGATCAACAGCTATGGCCTTAGGGTTACTGAGGTCCAGCTCAATGAGCGTAATGCACACCGTTCCATTCTGGTTGCAAACGAAGATCCTATCACTGACATGATCCAGAAAGTAAAAATTTCCAGTGATCCAGTCAATTGCTATTTGCTGCACATCTGCCAAAAAAAAAAAAAAAAAAAAAAAAAAAAAAAAAAAAAAAAAAAAAAAAAAAGGAGAAAAAAAGAAGCTCAGAACTGCAACTGTAATACAAATAACTGAGCCACTAACTGTTTCACCAAACAAATGCTCTCCTAAAGAGCTCAAACTGTTTTTTTACAATGAGAATGCATATGGCATACAGTAAGGAATTCAGCTCCCTATGGGTGAGTACTTGTGGGAGAGAGTTTTCCTTTTTAAGTACAAAAGTCTCACTGCAACTTCAAGGATAAGAAAGGTGCACATTTGTGTGTAGTTCTAATAAATATTTTAAATTTTGTCTCTGGCACTTTTAATGATATATTCAAAAGCAACATCACTGAGTGTTGCTGCAGCTGTGAGAGAAGGATTGGAAATGGATTATAAAAGGTAATTAGATACGTGTAAAAGGAACTAAAAGCTGACTATAACTACTTATGAATCCAAAAATCTTTTGTGTAGTTACTCTATATAACTAAACCACCCTATGTAATAGTAGACGTGTGTGCAATTAATTCACTCTTAACATTTTTTTTCTTGTTGTTCTGAACAATTTTCATGTGTTTTTTTTTTTTTCATACTTTCAGTTTTCTGCATTTCTATTATTCTTTACATGTTTTTTAGTTTATTCCCTCCACTCCAACAAGAAATTGTCACTTCTATCACATGCATCCTCCATTAGAGAATATAAAGTGAACTTGACTGAAAAAGAAATTCCAGTCATTAAGTTTTTGACAATAACCGAGGTTTTATGAGTTATGTATTTCCTAAATACTTAAACTACACATGGAGACCCATGCAATGTCCTTCAAAGTGCAGATAACATAAGATTTGCTCAATAAAATATCAGGAAGGCACCAGCTGTATTGCATCTCAGCCATCCCATTACACAGTTCATTGCTGTCTCGTCTATTTCAGATTTCTCCCCTTCTGCTATTCATTTTTCTTTTAATTCAAAGTGAATATTATGCCTCTCCCCTTCTGATAGCTCCTATTATGAAGACATGCTGAGCCACAATAAAGGAATGCTCCATTTAGTCCAGGATCCAACCTCCAGAGAGGCCAATGTCAGGTGCGCCATGAGATATACAGAAACACTAAAAAATATTTCATACAATAGGAAAGAAAACATTTTTCTTTTTCCTTGTGAAAACATTTTTAAAATGTCAGAAAACACGTAGTCCTTCTGCAAGTCAGTAACAGTTTATGCAGTTTCCACTTTCCAATTTCAGAACTTGGATTTGGAAAATATCAGTTACAAAGAATGAAAGTTACAAAAAAGATTCAGTTTTAAATGTTTATAGACATGAAATTAGTAATTAAATTCCTGCAATGTGAGTTCTGGAAGACTGCTATGCTTTGGAAAGCAGAGAAGTACGCTGGATACTTTTTTCTTTTTTAATCTAGTTTTACCCAAGTTTCATAAATACTTGAAAGGCATGATACATACAGCTTGTTATATCTGTTAACATAACAGATAATGTGAATATTTTCACATCTTTAAAACGCAGACTTCTTTTTTTTTTTTTCGGATATTCATTAACATGTCATTAAAAAGAAATGACATTCAGCAGGTATTTATGGTACACAAGGAAATTAATTGGAGGTCATACTAGGGACAACGATTTGCATCCAATAGTTGGAACAGAGGTTGCTCAACAGTCCAGGAAAAGTGAGACATCCAGAAGCAATTTAACAGAATAACCTCTATGTCAGAGACTTCAAAAACCATTTGTTCCTCTTAACTCCTATTTTTCTGCTTTCCCTTCCCCAGCAGGTTGTATTTGAGAAGAGCATAGTACCAGCAACACAGGCTATTTGCAAGATGCGAGCTCATTCCAACTGCATTCCTTCTAAAGCTGCTCATTACAAAGTATGCTATGCTAGGTCACAGCTTCCAGAAAAAGAAGCATAGTAATTTGTATTTTTCTCCAGAAGGCTACAGCATGAAATGGAAGAGGTCTATCACTATGCAAAGAACTTATCTCCCAACAATAAATATTCCGTTGCTCCGTTGAAATGTAGTAATTAACTCAGACATTCAAAGCACGGTCGAATTTTCATTTAACGGTCAATCTAACACAAGTATGTTGTGTATTTTAAATTCCACTGTTGTGTTTTAGGTTTTGTCTTTTTTGTACCATGAGCTCTGCTGTACGTAGGACACATCCAATTGCTCACAAGAGAAGTTTAAAAAGAATTGTCCAAATATACTTCACTGTGAAATCATTTCCCACATGAGAAATTCACTCAGCTGGCAGCTTTTATGAATCAAACTTTTAATATCTACGGTTTCAGTAGCAGCTATGCATTAAACTGCTTTGAATGGCTCCCACACAAGTCAAATACACTATATACCATAGAGATAAGGTTTTGGTTGCACTGGAAACTTTTAAAATATATTGTCATGTGCTCAAGATGTCATGGAATTTATTTCATGCTTGTTTCTGGATTCATATATTATAACCCACTATGTGCAGATAGCTAGTCTGCTCACATTTTTAAAGTAATTAATCGTTTTTTCTTTGATTCACACAGTTTTGGAAATCTCTAAAAGGAACTGCTTCCTCCTGAAAACACATATATTTATTTTGAGAAACCTTGTATATATTTTTTAGGCTTTTCCCCTATTTTAGTAGTGGCTTCAACGGAGTATTTCTGCCAAATGTGGACAAGTTTCCTTTAGGTGCTTTCTAAAAACCAGAATTTCCTCTTCAGGATTTCAGAAAGAAACACTGAGATGTCATGTCTTCTAAATCTTAGTCTAGTTAACGACGTTGTGTTGAGAGTGGGCAGTAGTAAAACTTCTTTTTTGAAACACAGTACTATTATCATAATTTGAAAGAAATAGCAATTTCCTATGAGGGTAGCTAAATCTTCAAAAGGAACTAGAAATAACGTGTCTTAGAACAGAAATGCAGTTTCTGAAAATCAGAACTGTACTGAATGATTGTCTACTTTCATTTTAAATTTCTAATATATATCATGGAAAGCTCACATTTTAATTTCAAATAGGGACTTGTACAACAAATTTTCAGTTAAAAAAAGAGAGTAATGGTTCCATATTCTTGTGTTCGTCCTACTGCTGTAATCAAGGATTCAACACAAGCACTGTCTATTAACATAAATAAGCTAGCAGATTTTGTTACCCACAAACCTGCAAGAAAAATCTGAAATAGAAAAATTAGAATGTTTTCTCTCCATATGCATTTCAATAAAATTTTCTTATTTTTAATGCAAGAAATAATCTAAGCAAATGACACCGGGATCCACAGATAGTTGGAGTCTGTATAGAAACCTCCAAGCCAATGGAGGAATTATTCTGGAGGAAATATGATTAAAACTAAAAATGCCCAGTGTGTTCCACATAAATTTCTGGTTAATAATTAAAAAGACAGATGACTTCTCTCCATTTCAAGTGCAAATGCTTCCACTGTCTTACATGTCTGAATTTGTCCTTGTTCTGAACATGATCGCAGTGGGAACTCTCTAAAGATCTTGGAAATCCATTTAAGACTCACTGAGCAACAATTCATTGACAACTGATGGGATGGGGAAGTGGTTTAAGTTGTGGTTTACCTTCAATAAGGTAGCAATGACCCCCAGAAACACTGTCTGCAACCCTCAGGTGAGGGGAGGGGTAGTGTTTATGTTACAGGTATCTTTCAGCACTATAAGGAGCAGCTCAGTGCTGTCACAGGTAGGCAAGTCTGCTAGGATCCACTAGTTTAATTTAGTCTACTAGAACTGTCTCAACAAATGGGAATTTTGAGGGCTGTGCAAGTTTTTTGGATGGCTGGCCATATGCTAGGGGGATAAATGCTTGTGAGAAGTGAGAAAGGATTGCTCCAATCAAACTTTCCTCAGGTGAGCATCCTACAACATGGAAGATGTCAGCATGGTCCCTGACAGCCGTGCAGTACAGGAGAGCCAGGTTGGTGCTGCTCAAATGCCTCATTGTCAGAGGAGTCACCTTCAGTCCCCTGTCAACCAAAGGCTAGGACAACAGATCTTCATGTCTCACAGGCATTTTCACACCTGCTTTCTGTACAGCCTGTTGTGTCATGAACTGTTTGCCTCTGGGGCTAGTTTTCATCAAATAGCTGGAGTTGAGAGTTAGCTTCCCTGTATTTCAACTGAGGAAACATCCCCTGCTTTCTGCTAAAATCAAAACAGGTAAAACAGGAATATATATATGTATAAATATATATAAAAATATGGAATCAAACCCCATGAGAAATGAAGTAACATGAAAGTAATTAAAAGATAGGACAACATATTTGAGAGATTTTGCCTCTTCTTACGGTTCCTGAATCTTCAAGGTGTTTTTTTTTTTTTTCTCCAAATACATGCATTTAACTTCTCCACAACTAAAAGAAGCATTGCATTTTTTTTCTATTTTTACTTTTTTTTTTTTTTAACTGAAATCTGAGATATTTTACAGTAAGGCTCTGTGAATTGTATAAGGTAAGCAAACGATAAAAGTGCCAGGCATGTTCCATATAATTTACTCCCTGTTTAGAGAAAAGAAAAAAGAAAAGATAAAATTACATATTTACAACACAACTAAAAAATTTTGTTCTAAAGAGCAAAAGCAGCTTCAAGACAGGCTTTTTTGTCAAGTTTTGTGTAATGAGACTAACAGTGGCAAGTCTTTCTTTTACTAAAACAACCAGACCAGGTAAATAGTAGTTAAAACACGCTTAAATGACAGGCTGTGAAATCTGCTTCAGCTCTACCTCTTTTCTGAGAATTATGTTCCTAATTAGCAGTCCAGACAGCCTTGCACTGACACAGTGGTTGGGTAAAGTTAGAACTGGCATAGATTTCTCTGTGCCTTTCCTACTGACAGCAACTGGCCATAATTGTGTCTGCAATGCCATTTATAAAATATATTTTTTTATTAAAGATGTCATCATTCAATAAGTAGACAACATTGTTGTCTAAACTTTAAACAGACATGTCCTGAATGATTACTGCA